ATAAATAAATCTTTAAAAAATAATAATAATAAAATAAATAGAGGCACCTGGGTGGTACAGTCAGCTAAGTGTACGACTCTTGATTTCGACTCAGGTCATGATCTCAGAGTTGTGAGATTGAACCCTGTGTCAGGCTCCGCACTCAGTGAGGAGTCTGCTTGTGATTCTCCCTCTCTCCCTCTGCCCCTCCCCCACTTGCACATTCTCTCTCTCAAATAAAGAAAGAAATCTTTTAAAAATGTAAATAAATAAATAAATCTTTAAGAAAATACCATAGACTGGGTGGCTTATAAACAACATTGTTCTGGAGGCTGAGGACGTCCAAGATCAAGGTGCCCGCAGATTTGGTTCCTGGTGAGGGTTCTCCTCCTGGTGGGCGGATAGCTGCCTTGTGTTGTGCTTCTCAAGGAGGAGAGAGGGAGCTCTGGTGTCTCTTCCTCTTCTTAGGAGGCCTCTAATCCCATCACAAGGGCCCCATCCTCATGACCTCATCTCAACCTAATTACCTCCCAAAGGCCCCACCTCCAAATAACACCCCACTGGAGATTAGGGCCTCAACATATGCACTGGGGTGGGGCCACAAATATTCAGTACGTAATAGCATGGTAACAATGGCCGTGTGTGTTTTAGTTGGGAATAGATACCAAAGCCCTTTAAGCTAGTCTCTCTGCCCACAGGGGTCTAGAAATTTCCATCTGATTTTTACAAGAACGGAAGCTTCCCAAATAGCCAGTAGATGATATCCATAGTCAATAACTGGAGAAGAATCTTATAGACATTATACCAAGAAGGGTGGCCCTGGCCACAAGGTCAGTCATGGGGCCATGAAGGTGGGCAAGAGAAGGACCTCCCCGCTTTCCCACATCTGGCAGGAACCTGTCATTTTAGGGATGCCGACTGATGCATCCAACCTCCTCATAGATCCCCAAATGGACAGACCAGAAGAGATTTAGCAAAATGTTAATTTCCTTTTAATTGGGGTAAAATACACATAACACGAATCTGACCATTTTTACCACTTTCCAGCGTACAGTGCCGTGGAATTAAAGCACATTCACAGTGTTGTGCAACCATCCCCACTCTCTAGTTCCAGAACTTGTTCATCACCAGAAAGAGGAAATCCTGGATCAATTGGCACTTACTCTCCCTCCCCTCCCCCAGCCCCTGGCAACCACGAATCTGCTTTCTGCCTTTACGAAGATTTGCCTGCTTTGGACATTTCCTATGTGTGACATTTTGTGCCTGGCTTCTCTCCCTGAGCATAATGTTTTCCAAGTTCATCTATGTTGTAGCAGGTGCCAGTACTTAGTTCCTTTTTAGGACTGAATAATACCCCATTACATGAATAGACCAGCTTTTGTTTATCCGTTCATTGGTTGATGGGCATTTGGGCTGTTTCCTCCTTTTGCCTACTGTGAATAGTGCTGAACTACTAGCTGTTACTTAGCCTTTCCTCAGTACCCTATGTGTCTAGTAATAGCAGTTGCTTACTGATTGTCATAATCTCTGTTGCCCACATCCGACCCTCCACTGCAGACTCCTCTCTTGTTCAGCAGTGGTCAATCCTCAGGCTGGCAAATAAGTTTCACTCAATAGGGAGTCCTCCGCAAGCCTAGAAAAAACTACCAATGCTACTCATGTCTTTTGGGGTTAGCAACATTATCCATTTGTATCGGAACAGCTATGAAGAATCTCAAGAGTGTCCCGCCATGGGGAGATCTACCTGTTTCCCAAATATTTCTTCCCAAAGCAACACAAAAATAGGGGAAAGCAAACTATGGCATAGCCTGAACACAGAGAATGCCAGAATGTAAAAGGATCATGAGGAAAAGTGAAGAATCATGGAAGTGAAGCATGAGACCCCCACCCTTGTGCTTCATGCCTGCACAATGGAGAAAAAGTGCAGCGGATACAAAAATGGGAAACTAGCAAAGTAATCTAAGGTTGATCTAGGACTAGTTCCAGAAAGACGAAGCTAACCCTAAGTCTGAAAATACTGCAATGATGTCCGAGCAGATCAGAGTGTGGATTCCAGAAAATGAATGGATTAAAGGGACAGTGTTCCAAATGCATAGCTTCTGGGGAAAGGAAAAAGAAAAAGGAAGAGAGAAGAGCTCATTGGAAGTCTGGTGGTGAAGAGGAATGGAAGGGGCAAATGTAGGACCCTTCAAGACAGAAGAAAACTATAGAAATTGGAGGTCTCTCAACTTACATTCCTGCCACCAACAAAACAGAACAATTTCACACCTGAACAACAGAGAAAAAGTGCAACGGATACAAAAATGGGAAACTAGCAAAGTAATCCACAGAAATTGGAGGTCTCTCAACCTATATTCCTGACACCAACAAAACAGAACAAACACTAAATTAAGTTGATTTGCTGCATTGACAGAAGAGGGAGACA